CCACAGTTTATGGCTGTACAGACACAGGTCAGATGTGTGGAGTTTTTAGGATTAACGGTTTTAGGACAGTCATATTGTTTAGGGTTGAGGAAGGTTGAGTTTAAGGAAAAGGTGGTCTCAAAATTGAATTAAAATGAAGTGCAGCATCAGGAAGGGTACATGTAAAATATCCAAATAACCATTGATTAATTTAAAAACCTTGTATTTTGGTGATAGACCAAACAAAAGGTTTCAGCACAAAAGTGGGTTTGGTTTCTTTGGGTTTTGGTTTGGTTTGTTTTTGTTGTGGGGTGTGTGTTTTTTTTTTTTTTTAAGTTGTGAGCACCAGAAATGAAGTGTTTATGAAGAAAACAATAAATTGAGAGCAGGACATTTAAGATGACCACATAGATATAATGGCATGTGGGACCTGGCTGAATCTGTCTGTAGATCCTGCAAACCTCTTCCATTCCTAGTGCAGATCACTACCTGCCAGGTGGTGATGCTGTAAGACATAACAGGGGACTATATTGCAAGCTCTGCTATTACTTGGACTTTATTACTCTTCCAAAATCCACTCAAATACCTTTACAACTATGCTTAAAAATATTAGCATAAATCATGAAAACTGAATGGCACACAAAAATAAATGAACCAAGTCTGTTTGGGGAGGCTATATCTTCAGTTATTTCTTACCATGTTTGTTCATTTAATGAATTTTGCCAATTAGCAATTAATTTGCAGTTGCTCTCCTAGTCATTAGTGCGAATTAGCAAGGTTTTGTTGTTGGAATGTCTGGAACATTAAATAAAAATCCTGTATCACTCAAAACCTCCAGGGTACTCTACAGTGAGGCCCTCTATAGAAACTGAACTGCTCAGGGCCACCCTCCAGTCTCTCAACCCCTGCTGTGAAAGTGCGGTGGATGCCCTGTTCGTTTATTTAAGCTGCATGGCCCAGTTTCTAAGCAATGCCCTCCTCCTTCAGGGGAGAGCAGACCGGGTCAGTACCACTGTGCTCCATGCCTTTCGGACCAAGTGCATACCAGCAGAGACTGTGTATCCCAGGATCAGGCAAGGCTCCTCTCTGCATAGGTCGGCTCTGGTACTGTGGCTTCATGGTGTTGATTCACACAATTTTCTGTAGCTCTTTATTTATTTTTCTCCTGGTACACGCAGTTCATGTGTTTAATGCAGGTTGTTTATAGCAAGGACAAAGGATTACAGTCCTTAAATCAAAAGCGGCGTTGGTGTAATTATAAGCACAGGCTGGTGTTGCAAAGAGGGCTGTAGGGAGAGGCTGTCAAAGGGGAAGAGCATCCAAAATATAGTAACCTCAAAAATCCCGGCTAATCAGTTTTCTGACGGGAGCAATCTGTTTCCCAGGTGTTATTATTATATGGGGACTTTAAAGATAATAAATAACAATAATAGTCTAGTATAAGGAAGGAAAGAAAAGGGCAAATGCCATTCACCTCGGAAACTGTGGTTGTTCACTGGAGTTCTCAGAGGAACATAATTTTCTTCAGCCGCTGCGGAGGACTCGATCCATGACAACACCAAGAGCATCCCAGAAGCCGTGGTGTAAGCAACGAGATTGCCCTGAATGGCATTTTCATTAACACAGAGACATGGCCTGCAGAAACCACATGTCCCAGCACACGCATCTTGAGCCAGAGAGCTGTTTTTTGTGCCGTCGGCTGGGACCTGTGATCCCTGCAGAATGCCTCATTCCTCACCACTTCAGCACTCTGGTGCATCTCTGGACATCTGCTTACAAGACCAAAACAAAGAAGGGCTTGCTGAAGTAAGTTTGGGCTTATCAGAGCTGTACAGGTCATGAAGGCTTCCTTCCTGCAACAAGGCAGCCCAGCTAACGGACCCTGGCTAACAGATTATCAGCAGCATTTGAGTAATAGACTGCTCATTTAGTTGTAATACATTTTGCATAGAGAGCAATCAGCCTTCATCAGTCTTAGAGATGAATTGGCTTAGCCAGCTAAATTCTAAAGATATTAGTCCGACAGCAGCCACATAAATCATAACATTTTCTTAATGATGGTAAAATTAAAATATACTCTTGCTTTGAGAAACCAATGAAGCCTTCCTGTTTGCAGGCCAGATCCTCCTGCCTGAATTAAAAGGAAGCTTAATTGATGTGTTTTTAAACTAAACTCACAGCCCCACTCCTCCTGAGCATCTCTAGTGTTCCTTTCTTTGAAGTTAAATTAATTTGTCCTGCCTCTCCCTGCTCTATCCTCTAATCTTCAGGAGTGTCAGTGAAGACCTTGGCTTGATATTCATGGACCAGACTCCTGTGGGATGTGAGCAGGACATATACAACATCACAGTTGAAGGCTTTGCCAGGTTAATCGTTTGTGTTGCCAGTAGGTCCTTGAGCTAGTGGAAGCCTTCCAGGAGAAAAGCTTGTGCTCTTCCTCTAACCAACAAAGCAAGACCTCCTGTCTGTCCACCTAGCCTAGCCAAGCATGAACTTTTCCTATTTCTTGTCCTTTGTTCCTGAAGCTGGCTTGAAGTCCAGCATGCTTTTGCCAGCTGGTATTTAACAGAAGGGAATCCTGCCTTTAGCTAGAAAGACTGTGATGTCAGTGTTAGGGGCAGGGATGAAGACAGACTCTCAGGGCTGTGATAATCGCGGAAGTATTGTGTGTCCAGAGCTCTTCAATGAGGAGATGCTGGGCTGTGGTAACTCTGTGTCCTACAGGTTAAGGATAACAGAGTCTGACTAGGTCAGCCCATACATCCCCCAGCTGAGACAGAGCTGGGTATGTCGCCCGTCTCAAATATTCTGTGTGATTCCTTGTGGGGCAGAACAGTTCTCTGGACCAAGGCCTCTTGCTCTCAGGAATGTCTTCCCGATGCTCCAAGCTAACCATTCTGTCTCTCCTGCTAAGCTGTGCTAAGTGACCTTTCCTTCCTCAGCATCCTGCTGCTAGCTGCAGCATGGCACCCACCAAATAAACAGAACCGTCTCCTGTCCCAGTGTTCTGGGCTGCCTTATCTTAGGGTTCTACCCTGTCCTCCTGCTTTTCAGCAGAGCCTGTGCAGGTAGTCTGTGCGGCAGAGTTCCCGGGAAAACCTACTTTAATAAGGTTCTGCTCAAGTTAAGGCTCTGGACCAAAGACTTGACTGAAATCCAAATACCTGATACCTTTGGCAGCCTTTCTTCAGCTAAAACAATCATTTTGTGGTCAACTGTAAAGATTCAGTTTCTGAAGTATGAATCTCACTGCTACACAGAAGCCCCAGCTCTAAGCCAAAGACCCTCAGGGTGTGAAAAAAAAAAACAAAAAACAGATGTGTCCTCTAGTCCTTATCTGTGCTGGCTGTTTGCATGAGGGTGGATTTTCCATTTTCCCCTGTATTCCTTTTAGATCCTCTGAATCAGGTTGGTTTCTTAGAAACCTTCTTCCGATAGTCCTCTTGGTGCTTTGTGGAGTCTTAATTGTGATGGTAACATCTAGCAAAAGGACAAGGTGGTACTTAGTGTATACTGTGAAAGGCCTGTTCCCCTGGGGTGCTCTGTGGCATCCCTACTCTGGTTTCTTGGCTGTGGTGGAGAAGGCAGGTTTTCCCAGCAGGTCCTGCACTGGGGTTGTGGAGCTGCTGATGGGACATATAGCATTAAGGCTAGCACTTTCACCACTTGGGTATGTGCGTGCACTGCTCCTGCTTTCAAAGGAATTGAGAAGTTCCAGATGGTGTCTTTTGTTGTCATTTTGGTGTTGGGGCAGTGAACACTGTGTAAAAGATAGGCCTAATTTAGGAGACTGACATTGGGCTGTCTCTTTTGGGGAACTTCAGCCTGTGGCTTATGGGAAGTAAGATGACCATGGGGTCCTCCAGTGAGCTCACCTCAGAGGCCACTTTTAAGGTGGAGTAAAGAATAGCTCTTCCTTCAGGTTATTCCCAGCCCAGTGTTGCAGGCTCATGGTCGGTTTGGCCAAAGTCAGGGCCACTGGTCAGTAAGTGGTGTGCAGGATGGCTGCAGGATGCTCTCGCCTCTTGGCTATTTGGTGACCTGCTGGGCAGCTTGGGCTGGTGATGGTGGTCCCTGGGTGGACGTGTGAGCTCGCCTTCCCAGGGTTGGATATGGAGGGACAACCTACAACTGGGTGCAGTGAGGTAGTTGACACTGTGGTGTTGAGAATCATTTCTTTCCTCTGTCTTGTAGCATGGCTGAGGAAGGAAAGTGCTTTCGTTCCTTCTTGGATATATCCGCAGGGCTTGGAAACCTGTTCTCCCTGCCATATTGTGCCAGCTGCGTTTGTGCTGCTTGTAATCTAATAAATGCTTGGTCTGAGCAGCTAGCACTCCTGCTAGAGCCCAAATGAATGCAGAGGAAGGACCCTGCTAAGTGTATGCATTCTTCCTCTCCTGGCCAGCTCCGATTCCCTTTCATAGCTCACATCTGATGCTTCCTCTCTCACCTAGCCCCTTAGCTCCAATGTAAATGTGTGTTCACACTTCTGCCAGTCAAGTAACTGTGCTCTCTCTGTCTCTCCCCTTTGTTATAAAGCCTGCTCTATAAATGAATCCCACAGGTCTGGGGCTCAGCAGGTAAAAGGAGAAGTGAGTCTGTTAGCGCATGAGTCTAATCAGGCTGGCTAAAGCGAATAAAGTAGGGCAGCATTGCACATTAGCCGCTGTGTAAATGAGCCCTTTGATGGGCTGGGCACCGCGGGAGAGGGTTTGAAGCCAAGAAGAACTTTTGTTGTTAATTCAGTGACACATGGAAACTGTAAAACAGCGTGTCTTGCACACACACGAGAGAGAAAATAAAAGCCCTCACGACCGGGCTTTTCAATACCTGCCCTCGGACCTAGTCTGAAAACTTTCAGCCCCTGTCTCCCTCTCTTACCACTTGATTTTCCTTTCTCTCTCTTTCTTTTTTTGTTCCCCCTGCACTATAAAAAGAAAAGCTCTCTTGCCTTTTGAACTAGACGGCTGTGAGTGAGGGCTATCTCTGAGCTGTGTGGCTCTGTTACCTTTGTGTTCCAGATGAAACTGCCAAGCTCGGTGGGACAGAAGAAGATTAAAGCCCTGGAGCAGATGCTGATGGAACTCGGAGTAGGTGAGTAAAGGGGGCACGCGAGAGAGAGAGACACACAGAGCTAGCCTTTGTTCTCAAGATGGGCTATTTTTTCCCCTAGTAATACAGTCAGTTTCTTGAATAACAGTATATGAATGGTTTTTAAAATATTTTATGTGTTTAAAAAAAAGAAAGAGAGAGGGTAAAAGCCAGAACAAGATGCACAGGGTTTTTTTTTTTTTTTTCCTCTCAGTAGAAAAATGTTTTAAAAGAGCCTTTGTTTCTCTCTTGTTTGGGCCTTTTTAACTATCAAGAGAGGCAGCACAGTATTAGGAAGGCAAATCTCAGCCTTGCCAGGAGAGGTACTTCTAAGTGTGTTAGTGACCACGGCACGCGCATTGTTCAGGGCTGCCCTGTCTTGCTTTCAAGCTTCGTTTCCTCTTAATTTACTGCTCACGGTGGCAAGTCCAAAATGCGTCTGGGACTGTTCATCCCCCCTTTATAGGTTGCATGCTGTGTGAAAATCTGGAGCATCTCTGCTGAAAGGCGAGTAAACACACATGCCTCACTCTTGAACTCTAGTGTCTTAGCAGCAGAAAGAAGGGTTCACTTAACGTGTACAATACCTGCTCGTAGCTAGAGGGGAAGAAGTGCAGCCCATGGCTAGCTGCTGCCCTCCATGCAGTGGGTACAGTTTGCAGGTACTACAGGTCTCAGCATGCGGTGCCCCTTGATTAGACACCTGATGATCCCTCTTCCCCCCACTGTGGCTGGGGGGATTTTTAAAAATAGAAAAAGGAAAAAAGAAGAAGGGAAAAAAAAAAAAAGCCTTACTGATGATTTTCAAAAGATTACTGAGCCTACTCCCAGCACTGGCTTCTGTTAACTCTTGTTAGTTTTTTGGGCCAACTGGTTTATGGCTTGGTATGTTGTCTTGGAGACTGTGTGCAGTTCTGAAGCCCTCCTGTGGCTGGTGAAATCAGCTCAACCAGGGTGGTTTGCCCTTTCTGCTTTAAAACTAAGGGAGTTACCATCTTTACTTGCTAGGGAAGCCTTGGGGAAGGATGTGAATGCTTCTTAGAGCTCACTTTCCACAACAGTAAGGAGGGGTTCCTGACTCCACACTCCTGCCTTACAAAACACATGTTATCTTGAGGGCTTCCTGGTGTTCCAGTCCTGCAGTGCCTTAGAGTGCAGGAGCACATCTGGACTTTGTGTGGGTGAATGCAGTGCGAGCAGGAAGGGGTCATGTGGGCAGCCCTGTGGACAGGGGGACCACTGCTGTACGTCAGGCCAAATGTGCAGAGCTTCATCCTTTTCTTCTCCAGATCACGCAGCTCTTCCTGGCTCTGTGTGCATGTGTGATGGGCTGCAGCAGAGTGCATGGTATGAGGAGGTGATCTGCCAGCCCCTGCTACAAGCCGTTCAGGTCTGCATTAAAACACATCTGTAACACAGCAGCAGAGCAATTCACTGCCTCAGTCCTACCCTGGGAGGAGCAACAAGAGAAGCAGGGGACCTTAGCTTGTCCACCCCTTGTTGGTGAAGCTGTAGGGAACAGCAGAAGCTCTTCTATCCTCTGCAGCTGTGTGTGAGGACTTGTTCCTGAGGCTGAGCTCCCTTCATATGACCTGGTGGCTAGGAAGGTTCAGTCGTCCAGTCTGATCTGTGTCTTCCATCATCCTTCACTTTCTGAGTCCTGGACTTTGCAAGTTCACCCTTAGTCCTTGGCCAGAGCCAAAGGATAGCTTGGAAATTCGAGTCTCCAGCCCTCAGGGATGCCAGTTGCTAATGATCCATGTGATGGGAGTGAGGCTCCTGGCATATCTTTGTGGGAGTGAATGGTCAGCCAGGACCTTTCTAGGGATCTTCTGTTGTAGAGTTGCGGGTCTGGGTGTTTAACAGAACCCCTTTTTCTCCCTAGATCTCAACCCTATGCCCACAGAGGAGATCGTGCAGATGTTCAACGAGCTGCGGAGCGACCTGGTGCTGCTGTACGAGCTGAAGCAAGCCTTTGCCAACTGCGAATATGAGCTACAGATGTTACGGCACCGCTATGAGGCCCTGGCCAAAGCTGGTAGTATTGGGCCCCTCAGTACGGAAGGCACCCATCCAGACGGCCAGGCAGGGCTTGGCATCGAGGAGGGCAAGGGAGATGCCAAGGACCAGATCATTGATGTAGTAGGAGCACCACTGACCCCCAACTCGGTGAGAAGGAAGGTTGGGGCTGCAGAACAGGGAGCACTCAGGTCTCCGACGCAAATGCCCTGACAAGCACTGGGGATACTGCCCTGCTCTCCCTCCAGGCATGCACATCCAAGGGAGCACAGCATGCCTGTTCCCCCCCAAGTTCCAGTGCTGCTCTCTGGGCTTCTCTCCTGTGCTGGACAGTGTTCTTGGTGCTACAGGTGGGGTTGGCAGGGCTTTCTACATCCTGCATACAGGCAGGTAGCTTGATGTGGGTGCCACTGTGGACCAAAGCAGCAAGGCTTTGGGTGATGAGAGCTTGCACTAGGGCAGCAACAGTGATGCCAGTACAGCTGCAGGCCTGAGGCATTTTTCTTCTAGACACAGCCCTGTAGGGGTTGCTCAGCAGAGAGGAGCGGGTGGGGAAGGCAGTCTTGGGATGATGAGCCATGACCTGCCCAAGTCCCTGGAGTGAAGTGGTAGGCCTGCCTGGAGCAGGAGGCTTGGGAAGGAGAGAGGTGTTTAAAGAGAAAAGGGGTGGTTTTATACCCTACTTCCAGTGCTGAGAAAGGAAAACCAGACCTAGGGGTTCTTCCACTGCGAGCCCTGTGCAAATGCCCTGTGCATGTACCTCTGCAGGATGCGAATCACCGGCCTCTCCTCCCTGCCTCCGTGAGGGCAGGCTGCCCAGCCCCTCCCCACTGCCTCAGGGTCAAGGGTATGCCTGGGGATCAGCTGAGGTTGCTTTCCCCTCTGTGCAGTCCCCTGGCACAGCTGAGCTGAACTGCCTGATAAAAGCTGCCCGATAAAAGCTGCCCTTCTCCACACAGTGGCATCCCCAGCGCCTCTGACATACTGCCCCTGGTAGTGGCACAGACCTTTACTTTGTAAAATGTATAATGTATTGCAGGATATTGAGAACACCTTATCTGTCAACTGCAGAGGCGACACCTTAATCTGGACTTGAGTAATGTCCTGTTTGATTGTGACAACATGGAGTGGTATGGAAGCGTTCCACTGAGACAGGTTCATGTTTGCAAAGGAGTCTTCTGAATTTTTTTTTTTCCCTACTGCATTCAATCTGAGATCTCACCCCTCCGTGCGGTCCGAAGTGTCCTGGTTTGCAAACTTTTCAGGTTGATTCACAACACACTTGCTCTCCTTTGAGACTTTGCTTGTTGGGAAGGTGGGAGAGGTGGTGGCGATGGTGGTGGCCCTGTCTGCAGGAGGAGGGAGTCCATGGCGGTGTTTCTGACAGCACTGTTCCTCAGTGCCACCTTCTGGAATTGGAAACAAAGGGGTGGGCCCAGGCAGCACAGAGAGGGTTAAACTGACCTGGTCTCTGACATATTTGAAAGAAATATAATCAAGTTAATTCACTGCAAGGCAAATTCAGTACCTAAAGGGCCCCCATGTTAAATACAGCACTGACCTTTACCGGCTGATTACACAAAGACGACACAATTAGATTAGTCCAAGACAAAAGGTCAAGCACATTCACACTGTGACCATTTTATGCTACCTTTTGAGGGGGGAAAAATTACATCCCAGCTGGAGGGGTATCTTGGAGAGGAGGGGAATGGGGCTGGTGTACCACATTCTGCCTGGCTCAAGTGTGTTTGGAGAGTCAGGCAGGGCCTGGCACGGTGCTTGCTCTGAACCTTTCCTACGGTTCTGGGCAACGTGGCAGTGGGAGAGACCGGCAGGCTGTGGCCCACAACCAGCTTTTCCAAGGATGGGCAGAGTGGAGCAGAGGCTGTGTGTTGGTAATGCTCTCTGCCCTGCCCAGAGCTGGCAAGAGCAGCCCCGGTGCCTCTTGCTCAGCATCATGGCTGAAATTGGCCTCTGGAAGATCAGTGGGCTGGGGTCAGCTCTGAGAAGGGGGGGTGGCTGGGGCAGTTGCTGGCTGTTTGCCTGGTGGGGTCCATGCATGTGTCCCTACCCTGCACAGTGATAACCCTGAGGTGCCCCCGGCCCTGGTGCAGTGGGGACAGCGTGGGAGGCAGCGGGCCCAGGACACGGTGCTGAGAAAGCAGGCTGCCTCTGCAAGCACAGTGCTCTTCCCCCACCCTGGGGTGCTTGCAGCAGGGGGGTAGCAATAGTGGTAGTGCAAAGAAGCAGCTTTATAGAGCAAGTGCAGCGGTGCTTTGTGGTGGCCTTTCCCTCTATCTCCTGCAGCCCTGGCCATGGGCGCTTGCAGGTGACACCTTGCCCTTCCCCTTGCCGAGGCCGCTTCAGCGGTTTAACCCTGCCATGCCAGTCTTGAACTCCTGAGTTCAAGTGTCTGCTTTGCTGCTGAGCTGCTGGGGGCCCTTGGGGGAATCATTTAATCTCCTTGCTTTGCATTCCTCTGAGTTGGAGAATCCCTTTGTGGTGTCTAGCACTGCCCTTCCATGGCACTCCAGATGTTGGATTAAGCATGGATTAGTTCAGCATCCAAGCCAGCTGCTCCCCTGAAGCCAGATTTGTTTCCCTGGAGAGAAGTATCTTGCTCCAGATGTTGAAGGGAGGGAGTGACAAAGCCAGGAATAGGACTAGGAGTCCTGACTCCCAAGCCATACCCGGCATGCCTGGATTCCTTTCCAGGAATTGGAACGGGTGGGCAGAGGCACCCCAAGGTCTTGAGGTACTGGTTGTGGCAACAGCTGACTGCCACCGTCCCCCTTGGCCAGCAGTGGGGATGGGGGACATCTCAGCAGGGTGTTTTAGCCCAGGTTAGGAGAGGCGCCTGCCTGTCTGGGCAGCGAGACCCCATGGGGCCGCGGGAAGTTCTGCCCTGCCGCATCCCTCCTACGCCGGCTGCCTGCCCACCCTCTCCTAGGGGCTGCGGTGCCCCTCGCTGACCATTAAAGCTGAGCTGGGATCCCCCCAGTGCCGTCTGCCGCTGACCCCGCTAGGGACTTTGCTCGGGGCCTTTGGGAGGTGAAAGGTGAGCCGAACTCGGAACAAATTAGTTCCAAGCAGAAGTTCAGCCAGTTACTCTAGATTGGATCCTTTGATTTCCGCAACTCAGACTCCACTCAGTGATCTGTAATGAGTGACTCTCAGAAATCCTCACATTGCAGCACTTTGTTCCTGAGCTCACAAGTCAGCCCATTAATGGGTAAAGGAAAGGACCTTGAGTCTAAGAAGTCTCGGGTTCAGAGTCAGAATTATTTGACTTTTAAGCTTCCTTTATCTGAACTCCTGCTGACTTCTTGTTTTCTGAGCCTGTTTGAAAGCTAGAAGTTACATTGTTAAGATCAAACATTCTCTCTTTCCAGATGGAGTTACAATATCTGTCTTTTATATA